GTAAGGAAACATGCAGATAGTAAGAGGTTTTAAGAACTGGTAAAATCCACAATATGCTCAGAAAGGCGTATCGCAACATATTGTAACGTAATTTATTATGATAATGGTCATTATTGTCATAATGCCCAGTTTTAATACAAACATAACAAGACACAGATGTAACTAATAATGACAGGGCAGAGCTAGAGAGAAGATACGGTTACAAATTAATGATGCATTCAAATAGTGCTTCTCAACTTGTAACTCAGGCCTACTGTTTTCATGTTGTTTTTAGAGAATGTTCTGGCTGGTGATACATAAAACTGGGGTTCACGTTTAGTGACAGTAGTCAGTGTCACAGAGAGAGAGAGAGAGAGAGAGAGAGAGAGAGGTTTGTTAAGAAACTGCCTGTGTTATTTTACTCTGCTACACACTGTAATGCTTGCTTTACTGCACAGATTCCCCTTAATTTACTTTATGTAAATGGAATCGAAAATGAATGCCGACGTGCTTTGGAACTTCAGCCTCAAAGTGACTCGCTGCAGGAAAAAATAAGCTAAATTGACTGAAAGTTAGCGTAGAGCAGCTAACTGTTCAAGTTACCTCTAACCTGAAGAGAAAGTTCCTCTGATCCTCGTCTACGGCTAGTATGCAATATTTTCTGTACAGATTAAGTATCCCGGTTGTTAACTGAATAATTGAAAAACGCTGCTGTAACGATGGAAAATTCTTTGTTTTTAATGTGGAAAGCACCTGGGCACGGCTGAAGTTTCTCCAGCAGGGAGCGCTATTAGCATCCAAGTTGCTGTAAATCTGCTGCAGAAGAAGCTCATGAATGCATGTGTTTTGCAGTAACGTTTATTATTACAGATGAAGTAGTTCTTGAAAGATCTTGGCTTACTAAGTTACTTAACATACCAGTTTTATTAAATATTTTCTTGAAAACTGTTAATATTTAAAGAAGCATATATACTAAGATAGAATGAAAGTAGGTTAAAGACCTCATCTACTTTTTTTTTGGGCAGGGGGTGGGTGATGTTATCAATTATTGTGATTTTTTAACTTGAAAATATTGTGTTCATTATTTTTAGGTATCACCCAGGCCTAGCTTACAGTTGTATTTGCTACATTGACAGCCATTCATGTGCTACTTCTTTGTGGTAAACTTTGAGGACCGTCCGAGCGCACCATAAACACGTGGCAAGTGGGAATGTGCCAAGAGGGAGCCAGGACGGGGAATTCATGACAGCTCTGGATTTGGACTCTGGGGTGTGGGAGGCGCGAGACAGTGGGGCCAGTGTGGGTGTGGGGTTCCCCAGGTGTCCAGACAATGAGTTTGCTTCTCGAGGTTATGGGTGGGTGGCTTTAGCTGAGTAGGACGAGGGGAGAGGCGAACAGAACTGGGGTCTCGGTCTGCGATGAGCTGGGCGGTTACTCAGTGTGGGGTGTAAGGAGAGAGAGGGAGGGGGTGTAGGAGGGGAAAGCAGTGGCCATGACAATGGTGAGTGAATGGTGAATGGGACCAGCGGGATGTGACTGTGAGTTTAATGAGGCTGTGTGTGTGGTGTGGGTGTGCGCACACCCTCTGCACCCATTTTAGGCGCATGTGGCCACGTCCTCAGTGACACACGGTTTTCATTTTTTGTTTTAATAAACTGAACATGAAAAGCTTTAATATTTCTTGTGGTGAGGCTTAGCACTGAGGATTTTCCTAAAATATTTGCTTGTGCACAACAAAACAAAACCATAGTTCTGCAAGTCAGATTATATTAAATCATTTTTGACAGATGTGCTAGAAATTGTGTATAAATAACACAAAGTGTTAGACCTTATGTAATGTATATATGTAAGTATGTGTATGTAATAATGAAATGTGCTGTTATATATGTACTTATATGTAATAATAATAATAATAATAATAATATGTCTCATATGAGTTATATTTGTGTAGGTACCTATAGTACTATGCTAAGCTCAGACACCACCCTTTATTAATTTGAATTCCAGTCACAACAACCATAAGGTACAGGTTATCATTTTTCAGATGTTTCTGAGGAGATTAGATATAAAATAATGCACTTAAATAAGGAAGAGAAAAGTCAAAGGAAAATACAAGAGTTTTCGAAAAACTATATAGAGAAAATGGGACACTTACCAACCTTGCAAGACATGGTCAACATCAGTAAATGTGTTATCTTATGATTATTTGGACTGTAAAAAGCAGAAAATACAAAAAATTGAAAATTTGATATTATATTTGTGTAGTTTTAAGTTAAACAGATGTTTTCTGCTTTTCTTCTTGATGCTGATAAAGGAATTAATGAATTAATGACCACTTGTATTGGAAATTAGGAAAATGAAGAGTGGTCTTTTTTGAACAGTAGTGTATATGTAATAATAATGTATTCCTTATGTTCTATATATATATATATATATAAAAATATGTAAGTATTTCTATGTAATATTTTATGTCCAATGATATATGATGATATGATGTATCTGTAAGTGCTTATATTTGTTAATACTTTTCTAAATCAAATCTTAAACTAACCTTAAACCTGACCTTTGTCACCAAAAGTGGTTTGATCATTTCTCTCAAAAAATGAAACATGTAGCTTTTGTAAAAAGCCCTTTACAAAGTTGAGACTATTTTGTTGGTCCTGACATTAAGTTAGCCCTGCTTTTCTTTGTCAGTCAGGACAAAGTCAGGACATTTTTGTCCTAGGAATGTATGAAAACAAACACACACACACGGTGATGGTGAGGCCATCTCATTTCTAATGTTGTGGACCCCCAACTGATCCCCTTCCCCTTTCAGCAGTAGCTACTGACCTTCACAGTACAGACAGCAGAGGAAGTAGAGTGATGGGGTCACTGTGTAGTGGCTTCACCTTTGAACTATGGCCAACAACTCTCCTCTCCTCTCCTCTCCTCTCCTCTCCTCCCCTCTCCTGTCCGTCTCTTCGGCTGTCACTCGCCAAGGACGTGGAAATCCCATAATAGCCGTGGCTCCACCGGCACCCCACTAGCCCAGTCCCCCCCATATCCCAGATGTTTCCAATTAAAAAAGGGGGTCTTTCAGCATGGGCCTATTCTCTCCATGCTGAGAGAGAGGTTGAGAGAGAGGGGAGTGAGAGAGAAGCACTCTTAGACTGACTGTAGAGTGAGAGACAAGAGGAGGGGTTTGTGGGCAAGGCAGAAAAAAGCAGACTTTCTGTTTTGGCAGTGAAAGAGGGTCTTGAAATAAGGGGAGGACTGAGACAGGAGCGTGGGGCATTCAAAAAAGTCACTGTGGTTCAGTGGTTGGGAGTTGTTGTATGGTTCCAGCTCATTCATGATGCGAGGCTGTACTTGGAATATTATCACTCAAGTCTAAATCAGCCAGAGAACAATGGATTAAATTATGGTTTTAATTTAACACACTACAGATAAAAACAAAGGCAAACACATGTGCTGTGTGCTCCACTGTGAGTCATACTGTTAAATATCATTATTCTGTGGAGAACATAAGTGGTGTCAGAGAATAGACCATCTGCATTGGTGTAGTTTCTACATCAGTATAAACTACACTGTTGATTATTGCCATGATTTCACAGTATGTAACACTAATTTTTCACATGAGTACTGTATTCATCATTTTATTGTGAAATCTACTCAACTTAAGATATTTTCTGTAATAACAGCAAATTAGCAGGTAGATGGCGTTTCACTGTACTGCACAGCCTTATGGGATATGACAGCAAGAGACAGTTAAAAGTGAGAGATAAAAGGCATACAAATTTCGCTAAAACGTTTTTGCAAATTTTAACTGTAAAATATACATTTTTGCATTTGATTGCAATTACTGGGGTTCAGCAAATAACTAAAGAATTAATGCAATCAGTATCCAGTAATTTACTGTAATGTGATTTTTTGCAGTGTACATTAGTAGATTTTTATATTGTGCTCATGCCAATTTTTTTCTATAAAATGAAATATCATGTTTGTCTGGACTTCTGGCTACTGCTCTTGCTCAGATCTTGAACACAAGAGGGGGTTCCTCCCTCGCAGTGTAACCAGCAAGCTGATTGGCTCCTTTTCTTGAAAGGTGGGACTTTCCCTGTAAACAGACACCATGATGAGCGTTATGAACTTTCCCATTCATATTTCAGCGAGTGAACTGTCTCTTCCTTTATAATGTCTCTGTTTAGGTGACTGAGTCGACTTCCTAGCCTGCTGTAGCCAGTGCTAATGTGGGATTGTGGCCTGGACACATTCCTCAGATAACATGGCCAAGCCTGTGAAGCTGCTTCACAGCCTTTGGGCTGTCTATCACTGCCTGGTCAGTGTGCCTGTGAATTTGGGTCAGCAGTTGGAGACTGTAGCTGACCCTGGACCAGTTCAGAAGGAAAACTATGCCCTCAGACAGTAGATGGCCAATCGTGATTACATTGTGCTTCAGTTTGGCTGAAATGCTGGGAATGTCTTACCAACATAGCTCAAGTGTTTTGTGGTGGCCCTTTTTTGTTGTGAAACACTGCCATTATTCATTAGAAGTGCCCATGTCATGGAATTGTCCTAGCTTTATATTAAATAAAAAACTGATGTAATATGTGAACATTGTAAAATGGTCCGTTTCCAACACCTACTTACCTTTGGTTCTCAGTCTGTACAGGCCATATATTGAAACTAAGCCAAAAACAGCTTATGTCATGAAAGGTGTCACGAAAAACAACACGTATACATAAGTCATATGACTGAATGAGATCATTTAGTCATAGCAGTCTTCAAGGAACAGTAACAGCAGCAGCCTGTTTATTTGTAACAGAAACAGAGGGATTGCTAAATTGTCATATCATTAAATTATGACTGTTTTGGCATAAACTCACACAAACATCATAAATAAGTGATAACAAATTCTAAGAAAACAATAGGACTTTGAAGGGTTAAATGTAAAATGTTCTGTTATGGACAGATTCTCTTGCCTTTTTGCACAAACCCTTTGCTTTTGTCCTATAAAATAAAAATATTTTCCTTTGCAGTTGGAGCCGAGTTGAGCGTAGAAATGGTGGGCGACGCTGAAGTTTACAAGGCTAATTCAGCAGAAATCCGATGCCTATACAATTTCACTGAAAATGCCAGCATGGTGATGGTGCAATGGTTTGTGGTATGTACATTTCTAGATGGCTTTGCACACTTCCCAGCATCTAATTTCTGTTGCTAGCATCTAATTTTTAGCTGTACTGACAAAAATGACCAAGTGTTAGGCTGGCTTTTCTAAAATGAGACTTTATTGATTTCAGTATGAGCATCTTGTATAACTAAACTACGTTTCCCTTGAACCTTAGAATGATCCTCGAGGAAAAAGGATTAGGATAGCCTACAGTGACCTGATCACACGAAGCAAGGATGAGAACACAAACTACACTAAACGCATCCGCGTGGCAGGGGACAGTGGCAAAGAAATCCTGACCATCGTGAACGTGGAGCTGTCCGACGAGAGGGAGTTCTTCTGCCAGGTGGATGGCTTGGCAGCAGGCATTGAAGAGGGCAGGTTCCACTTAAAGGTTTTTGGTAAGTCCGCTTATCTTAATAATAACAAGAAGAAGAAGGGTGAGGGGTGTTAAAATGAATTGATGCGAGGTAGTGCATAAATCAGAAGGTGCCAATTCAACTGCACTGATTTTGTATTGTTAGAACTGTTTCAGCTTTTGGGCAGTATTTGGAAGGCTACATGAAACCTACATAAGCCTTTCATGACAACTGATCTTAATCTACATAAACTTTTATGAAAGCTTATTACAACAAGCGTCAGGCTGTTGTCCATTTTGATGTCATTTCACCCCAGCAAGAATTGCAACAACTGACACATGCTGGAATAAACCATCATAAGTGTCTGGAAAGGTTTACATCAGTTGATAGGCTTATGCAATTATTGTCAGCCCATAGAAAGTCCTCAGGCTATTTTAAATATTAATTTCCATAAAACAGCTGGGGGTGTTATTATTGTCTATATTGACCAACTCTGCCGTGTACTATTTCTAAGATTACATTAGTGTATTCACTCATTTATGTATTTTTGATAATAAATTTAAAGCATACAAAAATAGTAGAATTTAAATAAGTTGGTAAAATGCTGATACACTGAATTGTTTCCTAGAGAACTGAAATCAAATCATTGTGACTTACTACTACTACTACTAATAATATAATAATAAAATTAAATAGCGTCTTTCATATGTAAAATTGCAACGTGAAGTGCTTCTCATGATATGTAAATGAAACTATATTTAAACTTTTATTTAATAAAACTGCAATAGTAAATGAATATGTTAAAATAGGCTTTGGGAGTTTGGGAAATAGGCTGTTTCTACTGTGTTTTCCTCAGAAGAAATGATTTTTGCTTCGGTTTGTTCTGTTTAGACCCTCCGGAGCATCCTGTGATTGAAGCCGTTCATACTGGAGTTTCTGTGACCAATGACTCACCATCGAAGGTCTGTGTCAGTCTCAGGCCCTCAAACCCTGCGAGTTATGTTGTTTCTGAGCAAGTGATGTTCATATGTTCTATTTGTCCCTGATTAGATCGCAACCTGTGAAACTAGTAAAGGCTTCCCCCAGCCCAACATCACTTGGTATCGCGACCACAGCTTGCTGTCCCACAAAAATGGCCGTAAGTAAAAAAGAGAATAAATCCATTCATCTCATCCTGTAAGTTATTTACTGTAGTGTGTAACGAGGCCTGAAGGAATACTCCAGCGTTTTTCAGCTTAATCTCTGTTTGCTGCAAATGTAGCGTACAATCGATTGCCACAGACAATAATTTAAACATGTTTCCCTTTACCTAGTAAAAGAATAGAAAACCCATGGACTCAAATCACACTTCTAATAGAAGCCAATAGGTAGTTGCTTGAGTACCGGGAAACGTGTTGAAATTTTTGAGATAAACCGCAGTTGTTTTCCATCCAAGAGTAAGCAAACATGTACTAATGCACTATTTAAAACTTTTTCAATATAATTATAAGCAGATTCATTACAGAGAGAGCTCAGTGTTTCCTCTCTATCCGTCAGTTTAAAAGAGTGTTTGTGTGTGTGTCATCTCAGAGGTGCACGTGATTACTCTGGTATCCAAGGACTCCACTGGGCTGTTCACAGTGCAGAGTGAGCTCCAGTATAAGGTGACCAAGGAGGACAAGGACGCACACTTCTTCTGTGAGGTCAGCTACTACGTCCCCGGGGCTGTCCGAACAGTCGAGTCCAAAAGGGTCAACGTCAGTGTGCACTGTGAGTCTCCACACCGCCTCACCACTTGCTCTGTTTGCCCCATGACTTCTTAATGAAGGCCAAGCTGAATGCAGTGAAGGTCAAACATGTCCAAAATATGAGAGAGTGTTGTTCAAGGGCTACATATGGCCAAAACAACAAATACTCAGGAGATATATGAACTTTGCCTGAATTGTTATTGTGTTTTCAGTTTGTAACAGTTGATTTTTAAACCTCAGTCTGCAGGCTTGGGTGATAAAACGATAAAGACAGTTATCAAAAAGATTTTGAATATCGCTAAATTCAATACACTGTTGTTCTGGTCTTCAGTTGGGTATTAAAAGCAAGTTTAAAATAATAGGTGGCCATGTGTGAGTTTTACTTGCCAGTTACAGAAGTCTATCTATTCACTCAGAGCAGAACCAGCCAGACAGTTAACTGAGCTAGAGCTAGAGAGACAATTTCATTGTTGAAATGATGGTGAGTAAAAAAGGCTGTGAATTTGAGGAAAATGTCTCAGAACAAAAGGACATTATGATAGAAATGGCTACAGGTTCTCTGCAGCATGGAATTGATTCTGTTTTCTTGAATCAGATGTACTTTGATTCTTTGATTCTTTAAAAAATGGTTTGGCTTTGACCCTAGATATAGTCGATCAGCGAAGACATGTTTGTATTCCACATTTTGCTTCTTTAGTAAAGAACTTGAGCGTTGAGGCTAACATTAATAATAAACACTAGAACTCAGTAGTCACCCAAATAGCCTAAATCGTTTCTGTAAAAATGCATCAACAAAACTTCTTTCAGCAAACTGAAAACGTCAAGGTCACACAGACTTGTCAGTGTGGTTAAGAGCAAAGTATGACTTACTGTGAACTAGAAAAATGAACAAAATTGCGAGCAGCCGTTTTAGACAACAGTGTCTGTATTCATTACCTTGTCTGAAATGGCTGGAGAAGCTTTGTTTATTTTTACTGTTCACAGTAAGTCATGCTCTAAACCACATCGACAATTCTGTCAACAACCATAATAAAGACTTGGATGCTGGTTGATTGGGTTGAAAGACATTTTGGCAATATATTTTTACAGAAATGATTTGGGCTGTTTGGGTGACTATTGAGCTCAAGTGTTTGGTAGGCAACATTAGCCATGCAGCTCCAGCACCAAACTAAAGAAGCAAAATTTGAATTCTAAACATGTCTTGGCTGTTTCATTAGTATTAGGATTAGTAAAAGCATAAAATAATTGTTTATGATTAAAAATGACATCTAATATTTTATTGTATATTATGTTGTATTATATTATATGTTAGTAATTGTACATTAATAAATGAATAAGTGAATCAATGAATGAATGAGGGCTTAAAAATGGCTGTAGAACTATAATGACATGACACTGTATGGTTGGGACTGATGTGAACCATTTGAATGTTTGAAATGCTTCCACTTGGAAGTTCCAAACACCATCATTTTTCCCAACCTACCCTCAAAAAGTGACTTATTCAGCATCAAAGCAGAACTGTTTCGGCCATGACGCGGCTGCGGAATTCCCGGCTTTGTCACTCCTGACCGAATGGCTGCGATGTTGAAGCCACACTGCCCTGGTAACGCATGTCTGAATGGCCGGCCATTTATGGTCTCTGCTTTTTTTTTGTGTCCCACAGACCCCACGACCAAAGTCGAGATGTGGAGGGAATCGCCCCAGGGTCTGGTCAAAGAAGGAGACACAGTGGAGATCCGTTGCCGTGGTGACGGCAACCCCCCGCCACCCATCACTTTCAGTCGAGAACAAGTGAGAATGGCCCCCCTATTTTTTTCTGTCTTTTTTTTGCATTCTTCTTCCCCTCATTTTCTAGCGGAGGGGGCGGCATAGCAGTGAGAAAAGGCTGACATGGGAGACATGTGGCCTGGAGAACATGCTTTGTATCCAGACTTTAGTGTGGATCGAACAGTAATGTGCTCAGCAGCAGTGGTTAGAGTAGAATTGCAGCAATTTATAAGATTTCTGCATAATTTAATAGGCGAGACGGTCATTGAGAGTGGTTTGATATGAAAAGGTGCATTGTAGAGCCAGGGGTCACAATGTCTACAACACAAGTATAGCCATTTTATTCACTGTCTAATCCAGTGAACTTACACGTCTTTACAAGTTTTTATATGGAATGTTGATGATGGTAAAATACTGTTAGAAAATGTTAAAATAGGAGTTCTTTGGGTACTGTTTTGTCCTAAAATACATTTTAGGCCAAAAGTTTAACTCAAAACTGTCCTGTCACTATATTAATGTCTCTGGCATGATGTAGCTTGTAAAGGAAATAAAGTTCTCTGACATCTGTTCTCTATCCACCATCACTGTGAACAATTCAATTCAGTGGAGCATTTTACATTAAATCATTCTGAATGTTCAGATCACTCTTAGCTGCAAAAATCTGTGGAATCTCATGCTTAAAGGTTTCGGAACAGCTGTCTCATTGCAAAATATTTTTAATCCAAATGAGCATAATTTCTTTTATCAGTTTAATAATAACTTCACATAAACCAGTTTTATTTTGTGCAAAACAGTACGTCTGTATTTATATAGCCATTTTTATTTTAATTACCTACAGTCATATACAAAACTTTCAGAGCCCCTGGTCAAATTATGTTTTGTTGATTTTGAAGTGAAAAGTTAACACATCCTCTACAGAGAACACACTTCTGTGCATTTTAATGCACAATTACTGTTTATCCACTGAATTTAACATATTGGGAAAAAATGCAACATAAAATGTGGCTTGTGTAAAAGTTATGGCATATTTTATGTTTTAAGTTTTTTATGTTAAACTCAAGTTTAAGATTTGAAGAAAAATGCCATGAATAAGTTTGTTGCCTATAGAGGATGTGTTAACTTATTTTCAAGTAGAAAATCTACAAAACGTAATTGGACTTGAGGTGCAATTACACATTATACAGGGAGATTCATTCTGTTGTAACTCCCGTTAGGATGAAGCAATCTGAACCAAAAAGATGCGCTACATACCTTGACGTATGTGTAATCGATTGCATTACATGCGATGCTGGAAGTGATCTCTGTTTTCTGCCAGACACATAAAGGGGTATGGGGGTATGCACCTGGAAGTTGCAAACGGAGGTTAAACGTCGCGTCAGCAGTCCGGTGCCTACCTCATCGCTCCGACGTAGGGGCATCCCGGCTGGTTCGAAGCTACATATACCAAGGAGCACATTGCACATTGTTTCGTTCAGATTGCTTTGTCCTTGCGAGAGTTATTACAGAATATTTGGGGCCTCTTTTGAGTGAATCTCCCAGTAGAATGCCTAAGTCAAGTAAAAAAGACTCTGTAAACTAGGCAAATGCTTATATGTGTATGAAGAAGTCATGGTGTTCTCAAACTTTTGTAGGCTGTGTAAATTTGAATAATTACAGTTTGAATACATAAAGTAATAATAATATATTGCTGTTGCGCAAAAACCTCAACATTTGTCATTTTTTAATAAAACACTGATTACCCTTTGCATTGTGTTAAAATTTCAAGATGAGTGGACTGGTAGAAATGTTATGTTTAAGATGATTTTTCTTACTCCTGATAGTTACCATCTTGGAGATGCACGGTTTTGTTCCGACAGTGACAATTTGTAAACATTACTGCTTTCTCTGAACTTTACACCAGCGGAGAGTGATCAGTCGTTTTCTGCTGTCTGTCCTCTGTGTCCTCTTTAGCATCCAGACGAGGAGCTGGAGGCTGATAATGACCTGCTGGTTCTAAAGGAGGTGACCCGTGGTGACAGCGGCAAGTATCTCTGCCGTTCTCTAGACCTGGGCTCGACAGACTATGAAGACGTGGTGGGGAATCTCCAGCTTACCGTGCACTGTGAGTAGCTGCAGCTCTAACACTCAACATCCTGGGGACTGAACTTGATCCAAGTTCCAGTCAGACTTCACTGCTTACACCTGATTCTGCTAATTGGGTTCTGTTCTTTGTTGTGGAAGTAAGATGGCTGGAGAAATCAAGTGTTGTTGGTACGAACGCCTGCAGGTTGGTTTTGCTTTGTTTTGCAGTTGGGGGTCTAATCTTGAATTGCCTGCTGCTAAATATAATTCCTTACTAACAATATTAACATTTTAGGGTGAGGTATTCTTTTAGAAGAGCCCGTATCATGGAGAACACATTTTGCTTGCTTGTGTTGAATATGAAAGGTTGATGTAAACATTGTTTCAAAATGCAGCATTTGTTCCCTGTACACTCTATGCAGAGATGAAGCACCAAAAAAGCCTGCTGTCAATGTTATTGTGATGTTATGAATACCAGCACATTTATACCATCACATGAATACCAGCATTTACACTGCTGTGCAAAAGTTAGAGACCACTCTTCAGTTATCTAATTTCCAGGCAAAGTGGCCACAAAACACATTTAACAGAAAGCCCCAACAACTAAAAACAATGGGCCTCATTCACCAGCCATTCTTAAGAAGAACTTTTGTCTTAAAACCCACTCACGCAGTTTTCTGATTCTGGCATTTACTTGGGTTTTCTTATGTGGGATTTGTATTTAGGTAAAAACCTTTCTCAAGAACAAATTTAAGAAGAAACTTAGGAAGATAGGAAGATACTGGTGAATGAGGCCCAGTATCATTTTTTTTAGTATTTAGTGTGTCCTCTCTTTGCCTTCATTACAGCTTCCCATTCTTGTCAGGAGTCTTGCTTGTTAGTTGCATTTTTCTCTTTCTCATGATCCAAGTAATCCCAAACACATTCAATGTGAAGTCTGGACTCTGGGGAGGTCAGTCCATGGTTCTGAGAACACCAGCAGCTTCTTTGATTTACAGATTTCCGTTTCCCAGTAACAGCTTACGTGTGTTCTCTGTAGAGGACGTGTTAACTTATTTTCACTTAGAAAATCAACAGACATGTCATTTGACCAGGGTGCTCAGACTTGCATACCACTGTAACTGCATTGTCAGTGGTGGGGAAAGTTTTAATCTAAATACACAAGCACAAGCAGACGCAGAGCTGCATAGAACATGTCCTCTTTATCTTTAAAACATGTGTGGTAAATTCACTCCCGAAGGCAGACAGTAATAAGTCATAGGGGAGACAAAGGTTCTTAGCACAGATTATGTGACTGTGCATGTGTGTGTGTGTGTGTGTCTGCATAGATCTGGACCCAGCTGTTGTGGTGCCCAAAGACTCTGAGGTTATGCAGAAGGGGGAGAACTTGACAGCCACCTGTAATGCCTTATCTTCTCTGGAGACGAACACTGTGTGGAGTAAGGTACGTTCACACTGTCTCACTGTTCAACAACTCCTAGGCTTCCAAACTGAGAATCCCAAACCCAAAGGGTGACACAAAACCTGCATGCAACACTTACAAAGCCAAGACAACCACAAGACAAAGATGTGGGGTACATATGCAAGGGAACACAGGGGGGAACAGTGAGGGGACGTGGCAACAGACAAGACACAGTGTACATAGTGTGACACTGAGGATGTAATCTTAGAAGGAACAGACAAAGAAAAAGCAAGGCAGGAATGCCACAATAGGAAAATGTTTTTTTCCGACAGCTGAGCTGTAAGTGATCTTAGGAGTTTACTGTGAATTTGTCTGGATGGGCTGTAACGCTATGTTATAAGCAACATAATGAAATAGAGTTAATTATTCATTTGCTACCCTTAATCCAAAGCAATATAGTCACTGCCTTTCAAATATGAGGAATTGTAAAGTGTAGAAATTATTTGAAAGCTATATTAGTACTATTAGTGCATTTAAATAATTTTGCACACACACACACACACACACACACACACACACGCATATATATGTGTGTGTGTGTGTGTGTGTGTGTGTGTGTGTGTATGTGTGTGTGTGTGTGTGCGCTACAACATTTTATATTATTGAAAACAGTGAGTCCAAATATTTAGTACTGTATCAACAATGCATTAATAATTAATCCTCCACTCTGACTGTATGTCTGTCTCTGTGTGTTTAGAATGGTATAGAGATTAGAAAGGGAAACGTGCTGCATCTGCAGGATGCTACGTTTGACACAGCTGGACATTACCACTGTGAGGTGACCGTTCCATCCCTGCCAGGTCTGCATACCAGAGGATCAGTTCACATCATTGTGCAGGGTAAGCACTACAGACCAGCCAGCAGATCACATGGCACACATTTATCTGCAATACAGTGAATCAAGCCTACATTGCAAGTCAGTGGCCTGTATGTTCAAAACTTTAGTGATGTTCCCTTTAATGAAAATAAATCTGCATTCAGAGTAGTTATAGAGCTTGTGTGTCCATGTTGGCCATGAAATAAATCAGTGTGTAGAATCCAAACTGTGTGTGCTTTCATGCTTTCTATCACTATGTAAAAGAAGCATGAGTTTTTTCTTTATTGCTTGATGTACTTTAATTTTTTTTCAAGTGAGTGTGATTCGTATTATTGACTTGTTTAATTGGAGTTAGGATAAAATGCAACTGATACAGCCGTATGCAAAAGTTTGTTTTTGCTGCATGAAGTTTCAAGTTATTTAAAAGTGTCGTTAATAGTGATGTAACGATGCATGATGACAAATCAAAAATGTGATAATGAACTGTGGAGAATAGGCATGCTATTACTTAAGGGATCAAATGCAGTTGCACTGTTTGAGCACCAAAGTTGGCAAACAATCTGCACCGTTTAACCACACAGTTGTTTTTTTTAATTCAAATGCGAATTTTGAACCCAGTATTGAGAATTGCATCAAACTGAGGGCTGAGTGTATTGTTACACCCATGGTAGTACATACAATCATTTAACTATTATGTAATTACATAATTAATTACATAATCTATTACACAATTAACAACATTTACACTCAAGTTACATTTTGTGTAGACAAATTTGAGTCTACACTTCCATCTTTTAGTTTGTTAAAATGTCAAAAACTGAAAAAAATGTGGCAAAAATATAAAGGATGATTATTCATTCCACAAAACAAGCCTTTATATACAACAGTAACTTGTGATCAAACACAAATCATAATGAAATATTTCTTCTTCTATTTAGAAAATGTATCTTTTGAAAAGAGCTTGTTTCAGTGTTATGGGTGAAAAAACGATTCATAAGAAATTGCAACCTGCTTCTTCTAAGAGTTAAAGTGTATTAAATTACCATCTGCTCTGTAAATAAATGCACTTTCGTTTATTTCTGCTGGAATTTGATCTCCTGCAGGCGCTCCTCAGTTGAGAGATGTCAAAAAGGAGGTGAGCATGAGTGAGAAGGTGGGAAAGTGGGTGAATCTGACATGTGAAGCAAGAGGATACCCCAGACCCATCGTTACCTGGAGCATCACTGGCAGCCCTGTAAGAAACGCACAACACCTTTGAGGACTTTTAAACACACTGACCTTGGCGGCTAATAAATATTTGTATGGGTGAACTGTTGACCTTTGGGTTGTATTTGTTTTTAGGACTGGCGAGAGGTTGTGAGAAAAGAGACAGAGGACTCTGTTCAAACTATAATGACTCTCAAAGTGTCTAGAGACACTGTGGCCACGTGCAACGCTACAAACAAAATAGGGGGGGAGACCAAAATCTACACCATCAGTAGCAGTAAGTTTCACAGGTTCTGGACAACTCTAGCCAAACACTGTTGTCACAGAATGCTTTTATTATTTTTGTTATTTTGTTTCTGTGTAATATGTGTAAGCATGCAATCACTAGGGCTGTCAAAGTTAACGTGTTAATAACATGTTAACACAGATGGTTAATGCTACAAATCTTCTTAACGCTGTTAATGAATTTATCTAATTTGACCATTCGAATTCCATTTATATCTCATTTTGATGAGGGTTGTGCATGTTGACTAGTTTTTATATTCAAGTGGTCGCAAGAGTTCACAAAATGGTCAACCACAGAGAAGGAAATAAACTAAGCAAAAAAAAATAGCAGGTCTGAATTATGTAGTGCTGTGGCTGACCTTGTAAGGTGACATCACTGGTATTACGGAAAAATTTAACAGCACGCAGAGAAATACGTTTCAAAACATGCTCTGTTATTCAGAAACATGAGCTAAAACAACAGCTAACCAGTACAACCCTGCGTGTTGATGGAGACTCGTCTTCTATGGGTTTTTTCCTCTTCAGTGGATGATGTGCCAACATTTTGGTTTGTTAGAAAAATGTAGTTTAACTGTTTCTAGACCTAACATCAGCCTAGCTTTTTAGCACTAAAAGCTGTGCAGTCTTTGTCTCCACGTTCTTAACAATGCATCCTTGGCAAAGCGGCCACATTAAGGCACTCACATTTTGGCGTAGCAAAGTGTAACAGCATACTTACTCATAAGTATAGGCAAAACTTTCACAATTTACAGTTCAGTTAAAATATAAAATCACATAAAAAATAAAATTGTTAGCCTGTATAGTTGCTCTGTCTTCCTGTGACAAAACGTAACGAATACCTAAATAGTGATTTTAGCATTAAAATACTGGCATCTCGAACAGTTACCCGAGTACCCGTGCTTATGCCTACTTTTGATGAAACCAAAGTTATTTCCCGCTATTCCCATGCCGTGAATTTGTTTATCACTGACTTTGTGTCTGAAGTATCATCATTTAAGAGCAAAACACAGCACTGATACTGGCAATACTAGCATCAATAATGTTAGTACTGGAGGACACCTTCAGTAGACTACACTGGTCAGTGCTTGTTGGAAAACGATGGATAAATCAACAAGCAGCAAACTAACAAAAGCAACAGCGAAGTGGAAAGCAACAGTTCCTCTCAAAACAAGACAATGTAGCGATATGAGAGCAAGAAGCTATGATTGTGGAGGAGTTGGAATCATTGATCATTGTATATTGGCTGGAACATGCAGCCACTGTTGCTCTCACTGAATGTTGTTCACTCTATGAAAATCATCTGAATTTCCATAGAGTGAACAACATTCAGTGAGAGCAACAGTGGCTGCGTGTTCCATGAATTTCATGTGCAGTTCATGTGAAGCCTGTGCTCACATGATGAAAATAAAGTTACTGAATTATTGAAAGTAATAAATACATTCTGATGAAGCTTATTTGTCCACTATAACGAACTGCACTGCTTTTTAAATGGAACATTTTCTCTCTTTAGGGTCAAATTTGATAAATGCGATTAATCAGAATTAACCACAAAAATAATGAGATTAATCACAACTAACTACGAAAAATGTGATTACTCGTTATCTTTTTGGCAGCCCTGGTACATAATTAACTATGTAGTTAGTGATGTACCAAATTACACTTCAGTTCAAATTTCTCTGCTTATTTCAAGGAGCTATAAGTGAGAAATATACGCTTTTGTTGTGACTGCTGATAACTGTGATTTCTAAGGGTTACATAAAAGATAATATATGTAATAGAATAAAACAGAAATGCTACAGAGATCATGATGTATATGGAAGTATAAACTGGTCAGTGAGTATAAAATACTATGAGTTACACAGAAATTAGATGTTTATTAGAGTGTATTGACTGTAAAGTTGCTTTCTCTTTGCATCTCTCCACAGTTCCAATCATAGGCACGACCTTAAGGAACACTGCAGGTAACGACCTCTCACGGCTGCAGCAACCTCACCCCGAACCCCAGCTTTCATTTCTGCCTCCCGATATCCATCCACACCATACAATGAATGATCAGCTGACATTTATGAATAATGCATGCATTTTTTTTGGTGGAGGCAGTGCAGAAGTTAGATTGGCTCCCCTCACCAGCCCCTGGGCATATTTAAAATTCTGTGTGAAGAAAAAAAAAAAGAGAGCTGAAATCAAGGCAGACTTTGCTTAGGCAAACATATCCAACACCAAATGTTTTTTTTTCTTCCCCTCAAGATGAATGTATAATTAGCTTCCATAGAAAATTAGCAAAAAAGATGTTTTGAAGTGGTGGAGCGGAGTAGCAGCACACTACAGTTGTTGGGGTAAATGTTTGTGGTGGCAGCATGCTGTTTCATTGAGAGTGGATTCAACTCGTAAAACTCATTCCCAGACGATTGTTTGTCGTCTAACTCCCCGTTTATATATAGCATTTGTTACCAGCGCCTCAGAATGGCAATTCTTTCTTTTTAATTTGTCTCTCAGGAGGAGTAAAGCTCCACCGCCATTTGCCTCTTATTGCTGTTGTGCATTAGCTATTGTATTATGCAAGACTGCATTTCGCATTAATTGAGCAATATCTATTAAATCTCTCAGAGTAGTAAAGTCTGATAAATTCGTTTTTCCAAAATTGACAGAGTTTTACCTGGCTTGAGACTAAGTGGTCTGTAAGTGTAGAAATATTCCAGCCTGGAGCCATGTGCTCTGACTTTCAGGCTGTTAACATAATGGAAATGTATTAGGCCAGATTGTGCCGTAAAGCTCGGCCCGGTTCACTCCTAATAACACAGCATGTTGAAGCTCTGATGTTGTGACTGAAATTGATCTGTCCTACCTCACTGGTTTTGTGCTATATTAATCAATCTACAGAATTGGTTTAAAGTCAGAGCTCAACACCCATTTCAGACTTTTAACTGACTTGGACTAAAATCCTTTTACTTTGAGTGACTCTTTGCATGATTAAACCACAACAGTCATAACACTACTGAAACTTTACCAGATGTTTCAGTGATGACGATTTTAACTGTTTTTGAGCATAACTCAAAAATGCTAGCTAGTACATGACTAGCAAACACAGCTTTGATCAGTTGTACACACAAAATCATAACATTTTTATTAAAACACAAAAAAGTTTGCTTAACATGTGTTTTGGTATTTTTAATACCAAAACACATATTTGTGGTTTTAATTCTTAACGTCACATGTTGATTTTCAGACTTTAGGACACATTTACTTCAAAACAATAGGATCTAACTGCTCACTGTGTGGCCATGAGAGACAGGAATGCAGCAATATACATAGGTGTGGCTAAAATAAGTCTCTGCCTATGGACTAAGACTCCATCGCTCACCACTTTGAGCTCCACCTTCACAAGCCATTGGTTTTGAATTTTGAAAATTTCACACTCAGTCTGTTTTTAATGTTAATAAATCTATGGTCCAGCCCACATTGGGCCCAAAACGGCTCACGGTTGTGCTCTGACATTCTTGTTACAAGATCACGTCTGGCTTCGCGAGACCAGTTGAACCTCTGGAAGCAGAACACAATAGTACTCTTGGTTCTATACCATCAGAAGCACTTAGTGGGGAAGAATGTGGGAGGAAAATTTTAAAGATTTGGTGAACGTTTCCTTTCAGTATCTAAGTGTTACATTGTATCACTTGCCATGACCTTCATTGGGTTATTAATATTTGTTGACATGCTAATAGGCTATTATTGGCAGCCTGTGTACAGTTGTAGTCACTCTAGTGCTAATGCACAGCCTCTTTCACTGTTCCTCTAGTCGATAACAGCGGAGTGATCATCGTGGTCATTGTTCTCAGCATTCTGCTCCTGGCCCTCTTGGGCAGCATCCTCTACTTCCTGTACAAGAAGGGCAAGTTACCGTGCGGACGTTCTGGCAAACAGGAGATGTAAGTCTTTGTAGAGTTTTTGTGCTCACACTCCTGTATATTTCCTTTGAGATCATTATTATGAAGGGAGCCTTTGAGTTGAATGCTAGACAAGCCACTGTTGATTTTTTTGTCGATTGAAAATGTTTTCATTGTATTTGTGTTGTTAAAGATTGTGTTTCTTTAGTGCTGTTCGGATGGGATAAGTTTTCCAAATATATGTACGTGATGTTGCCACAGGATGTCTGCAATATTTATGTATTACAAAGATTACAAAGTCTACAAGATTCACACAAAGTTTCACGCGTAATACAGATCTAGTTGCTCATGTCCTGACGTTTATCCCATTTTTTCTCATCCTAACAGTCCACTTAGCTAAATGTGATTAGTGAATGCAATGAAGAGAAAAGTTGATTTATTTGGCGATTCTCATTGGTGATTATGTCAGCATTGATATTAGGTAGGGGGTTTAAAGTCACCTATCAAAATCGCCACATAAAACCAACCTTTGCTGTCATATCACACTGCATTTAATGTATCGGCTTGATTTTGGCCACACAGAATACAAGTTAATACTTCATCAAGTGCCTCCATACTTGAGGGGACCAACATGAACATTTTGTGAACATGCTTACGTGTATACCTTCTAGTGCAAGATCCCACAGTTTGAAGACTTGAAAAGACTAGAAAACCCCCTCCTGATGATGTATCTTGGAGGAAGAAGTAGCTCCAGCAACTGCTTTTGGTGAAGTTTTAGGCGTGGGCTGTTTTGAAAGGGTTTTTTTTTTTCTTAAACGGCGAATGCAGAGGGAAGGCAGATAGCTAACATTACTGCTCGGAAGCTGAATATCTTATTGCAGCCGTCTAACTGTAGCGACTTCATTTAAATTGCCATTACTATGTACAGAGTGGGTTATTATAACAAGAGAAATGACTCATCAGATGAGGAAGACTTGCTAAAAGCTATATTTATCAAGGTAGCTAGATATTTAGATACCTTACCTCAGCTTGCTTTCTTTCTCTGATTGAAAGGGTACAAAACATGTCAGTGGTGTCTTTACAATTTTGTTTGATTACTGAGTCAGTAGAGTCATTAGAGTCACTCTAATGCAGCAACTAGGCTAGTAGTCACGATTGGTTGACACCACAGAGATTCTGAGTGGTTGTATGATGTATTTGCGAAATGCATGCTGGTGTCGTAGTGAGAGAGCACTGTAGAATGAAACATGAAAAAGATATGAAAACATGAATTCTGCTAAAAAAAAGCAGTGAGGCTGAGGGATATAATGCTGTACTACAGAGCGCTGCATAACACAACGAATAATGTATTAAACTCTAGTTTTAGGTCAGAACGTGCGTTTATGAAGAACTCCTTTTCCACAGGATATGACAGAATAATTACTAATATGTTGGTAATCATGAGGTTCACTTTATAGACGCTTCCATTGTGTTTTTAGACACAACAACCTGCTTGTAAAAAGTAATCTCATCCCAATAGCACTTTTGTGTGGTCTTTTCCATGCCAAATGCTGCAGCATATTAGAGTTAGCATGTTGTTAATCTCTACAGCATTAATCCCTTTAGCACCAAGGAGAAAACCAATAAGGATGACATCGTCATGGAGATGAAGGCGGATAAGACAGAGAACTCGGTACTACTAAAGGGTGTCAATGGTGATAATAAACCACCTGGTGATCAGGTAACTATAAAACCTGAGAGAACAACAGCAAGTGAATTCTACTGTATTCTATTATACTCTTTTTGGCCACTTTATTAGAAACTCCTCACTCCATCTTACTGGTCTGCACACACTGCCGCCCATCTGTTGATGCACAGTTTGTATTAGCCATTCTTTGGCGCTCCATCGATGGTCAGTTTCGGACCATAGAGCTGCTCTTGACTGGATATTTTTTGGTGGTGGACCACTGCAGCAACCCCAACAACACCGCTGTGTCTTATACACTCGTACAAGCACAACACTCTCTACCACTGCAAATGAGAATGGTCCACCAGTTACATAATGACTAGTCAACAGTGGTCCTGTTGTCAAGGACTGACCAGTGTTGAATGGGGTAGAAGATTGTGTATCCTCTGTATGGGCTACAGTCTGTAACACCTACATAGTGGACCTGTAAGATGTCTGGAACTCATAAAGTGGCCAGTGAGGGCCCGTACAGGATTGGAGTTTCTAATAAAGTGGTGAGAACTCCACCAGTTTCTCAAAATGTGTACATCATTGAGTCATTAAGATGTAAACACGTTTAGCCAACTATTGATGTGAAATGCGCAATTCTAGAAATCCAGAAACATCAGAAAAGCCAGAGTTGTTAACGGTGGTGATAGGAACCAGATGTCTGAAGCATTTAATGCCTTCAGAAGTTGCATCACAGAAAGATATGACATAAAATAGTTGCAAGTATATTGCCTGACATTGTTTTACTATAGTTCTGAGATGTTTTTAGGGCTAAAACAGGTATTTTTTAATACATTTGTGGAGGAGAGGTAAGCCAGGGTGCTGTAAGGCAAAACAGTACCCAAAGAAAATCATTATCAACATTTCATATGTAAACTTGTGTAGGTTCACTGGACATTTCAGATGGTAAACAAACTATATTTGCGTCATAAACATTAAAAGACCCCTGGTTCCTGTCATCACCACTGTAAAGAAATGTAAGTCGCTAAGTTTCTCTACAGTGAATCACTTTACACCAACTTACACCTCAGTGACTGAATAATATGAAATTTTTTATTGGTCAGTGGAAAAGGTTCAGTGGGGCTAACATTCAGCAGAAAACACAACACACTGATTTATAGGACGTTTTAGGTCTCTAATTATCTTTCTTTCTCTTTCTTTTCTCTTTTTTCCTGGAGTAAAGTACATTGACCTACGCAAATAACAAGGACAGGGCCAAGGACTGAAGATGCCAGCTGAAGCCAGTTCAGTGCCTCCTCACTGACCCAACAATCAAGAGTTAGGATGTATGGATAACGTCTGGTGGAGCAGCCATCTTTTTGGAATAAAGAAGACTTCAGACTTTGTTCTTTTCTTTTTATGAGCAGCAGTATTCCTGATTGGGCATATTGGACTAAAGTGAGCTCATTCAAACAATGCCAGATTTCATACTTATTTTCTTTCCCCTTTACAATGTTTCTATAAATGCCAATCAGCTTAACAAAACAATGTCAGTTTCAACATACGGTCTTCATACATTTTAAAAAGTGTATATATTATATATAATATTTAGTTACTGAAAGAGTTCTCACTCGGCCCTTTTGGATTGTTGATAGCGTTTCTAAGCTCTTCTCCGCATGTAAAAAACTTTTTTTAAACTATAAGCCAACTCCAATTATAAGCCACTATTTTACCGCCATTAAGCGGTGAAATCATCACAATAAATGGACAAAATAAGCTCATTCAGTATGACTCAATAGCATGATTGAGGTTGGACCAACATGCGGTACTTTTCAAAGAGGTCTAGTGGTCAGTTGAAACCCCAGACTTGCAATTGAAACCTTGGACATGTTCCAGAGTCATTTTCTCACACAGTCTTAACTACATTTACCAAAAGTTTCACAAAGCAGCCATGACCATTACAAAGCTTTATCACGTGATGTTTTCAGTTCTTGTAAGCAGTAGCCAGTAAGAGGGCCAGGCAAATCACAATAAACGCAGAGCTAAAGAGGAAAAAAAGGTGTGGTCATCACCAACCTGAAACTACTGCCCAGCTCTTGTACTGTTTGTAAATATTCGTAGCAGAGGAAAGTGTAGCTGTTCATGTTCTGACTGCTGAGGGGAATCAACTTCCTCTTTTTTTCTGCCTCACGTTTTTTTCAGCAGCGTGTTCATTTCACATAAATGTTAATGTAAAACTTCTTAATGCCTGTTCTGTTCTTTTTGTGTGTGTGTGTGTGTTCGGCGAAGGGAAAAGGGTGATGTTTTGTCTCTTTGAAGCACAGCGTGAGTTTTGAGGGAATACTTCAGTCAGCGGTGCTAATGTTGCTAACAGTGAGTGAAAAAGAACAGCCACCAGTTAGCACTGCAGATGCCATCATGCTAATTGGCCTTGCTAACTTTGGCCAGTGTTCTGTAAAACCTGTCCAATGGTTGCTATGATAGAATAGGTCAGTTGGTGGCTACATGGTTTTATTCACTGGTAGCCACATTAGCACGTTTTCTCAGGCTATTCGTTTCAAGAGAATAGCATGATACCTTGGCTTGTTGACCTGTTGACCTTTGGCTGGGGGGTGAGGAGGGGGCCCACCTCCGTAACTGCTGTGTTTGAGAAAGTTTTTTATGTTAATTCTTTGGAAAATGTGACCAAGTTCAAATGCCGGTGTGTACATGATCTCCATATGTGCTGCCATTGCTTTTAATATAAAGTTAGTGTGTTAGCCCTGCCATTGAGAACACTGTTGTACATGTCTAATGGTGATGGAGTGCGTAGGCAGTCAGTCTGCACCTCAACTTTTACAGTTAAGCTAGAGGTCGTAACAGTTATGATAACTCAAGTTAACTCAAGAGTCTCCTTTAGCCAAAAGACAAGCCTTTCCAGTAAGAGGAAAGGGAAGGCATGCTCTTATTGGACAGTCCTTACTCTGGGTTTAAAGGAATTAGGGATGCACCGATATTGGAATTGTGAGCCAGTGTGTGCCAGAATCCAATATTTTTTAAATACATACTTGCCGATGCCAATGCCAATACATAAATATTTAAAATTCTAATTTAAAATTAGAAATTGAGACTAAATTCACCTGGATTAGCATTCCAGAGAAATGTAACATTTCTTTGTTACATTTACAAATGCAGTAATAGAAGTAAAATGCAGTTTTGTGCAGGACAATAAACACGTAATCAAATATAGGTTTGAAATGTCAGTCAAATCTAAACATCAGTGATACTTTTTAAAGCAAATATCTGCCAATACTGATATGGTTCCAATATCTTCATGCATCCCTAAAAGGAATACTCCAGCACTTTTCAATCTTATTTTTATTTTCCACATCTGTAGCATATGGTCAGTTACAATGGACACTAATGTTGACAAGTTTTCCACAATCTATAAGAACTGTAATCTGTTAGAATCCCTGTAACAGAAGACAATGTACAGATGCTTTTTTTACAGCACAGTGTTCATTTAGGACGCTGTTAAGCTTGCACCGCTCCTGTGCTGAGGACAGGCTCAGATTTGGCTTTTTTAGTCACATTTTAATCAAGTAAAAGAAAAAGGGACCAGCTGTGATACCAGGTTATAAATTTTATGTTTTCTGTTTATTGAGTGTAATGCCGCACGCAAGTGAAAGTCATGCTTAAACTACTGTAAGATGGTTAGATGCCTCTCGCTCCTCGCCTTGCGCATCTTCAGTACAGCAAGACACGGTTCAGTAGGACAGACCTGATCGATGTATATAAACACGTTCACCTGTGCAGTTCCTTAAGGGTTTTTGTAGTAATGTTCTAGTTTTGCTTATGTGTGTAAATTAAGTACATGTGATTTGATGCTTGCGTTTTTTTATATACTGTTTTTTTGCAAAAAAAAAAAAGCCAAATAAAGCTATGTTACATTTAAAATGAATGTTGTCTGTTAAATTGTTTTCAGCTGAGGAAACAGAAGATAAGGAGTGCCAGTGTTACATTGCAGGGTCTTTACTGATGTAAGTTTGTGAGTAGATTTCATTGATGTAGTAAATAAACCTAAAATGTATAATTTCATGCTGTTTGCTGTCACATATGGAAACGGAACTGCAAAAACAGGCTGTTCTGAATTCACTGCTTTTGTGAAGTCACAAATATGATCACATTTACATGTATCCACCTAATCAGCCTGCAGCAGTTTAGCTCTGCCCATTTCTGCTAAAGTTGCTGTTTCAGCCCAAGCTGCTTTCTGAATGAGGCACAAGGGTAGCCAATCAGAGCAGAGTTTATTTACATATTTCCATCTTAAAGGCACAGTGACAAAAACAGGCTGTTTCATTGTAACAGATAAAGAAAGGTTGGAGAATTGTCATGTAAATATGAAAGATGACTGTTTTGGTAAATAAACCCTCACAAATATCACAAATGTACTTCAGTAAACAAACAAACATAAAAAACAAATTACAAGATAAATGTAGGATATGAGACCTTTAATGTAATTCAAATTCAATTCTTGGTGCTCTTAGGTGTTTGTGAATCTGAATTTAAGAATGGTTGGAACATCATTTAACTTTTAATGTACTTGACCTGCTCCTTTATTCCATTTCCATTATATCTCCTTTACTCCTTCATCCCATTGAAACTAACAAGCAAAAACAACCTGAGCTCCCATTCAAAGCTTTGGCTTTATTGCTGTAAAGCAGTCTGAGTCCTAATGATAAGCAGAGAAACGGCGCCCTCTGCCGGGGATTGTGAAACACAAAGCAAATTAGACGTCTGACTTTTTAAATCATTTTTCTATCTGCACTGTAACGCTGTGACATAGAAAATGAAATGCCAGAATGATAATTGCATTTTATTTTGTACATTTGTCAGAAAATATGAAGAAAATATCCAGAAAATTAAAGTTCAAACGTAAAGACTGTAATTTCTGTTCCATTTTGGTATACTTTTTTCGTACTACCCAATGAAAATAGGTTTTATAATTTTCATTTTATCATTTTAATGTTGAGTTTTTGACATATCAGCCTGTCGCTGTCGGCTTTTGTTCGCCCAGCATGCGCAACGGTATTGACGCACTGCATCATGGTTATTGTAGTTTTTAGGGACGCCTATTCACATTAAAACAATATCTGAATCTCAAGTGGCTCCCTATTACACTATGTAGGTGATATAGCGACTTCTACAACCAAAACAGAGCATGAAATTTCATGAGAATTTTAATTTTAATCTCGCGTCTTTTTTTAGCCACCACACGAGATCATTCATTTGCTTAATAATTTAATTCAGGAACAAAACTTTAGACTAAATTGGGTCGAAACACTAAGAAAGCAGAATTACACCCTTATTTTGGTGTAATTTTGCCTGTATACTGAGAAACCTTGCTTTGTGAAACATTAGGAGACTAGGACAACACCGTTCTAGTTACGCTACCGTCGTGTTTTAAAGGGCCCATACTGTCCTTTTTTGATTACATTTTCCCCTCTGAAGTCCTCTTATGATGTTCGTGTGGGTTTAGGCACCAAAAAACGGCACCAGAAGTTCTGTCTGATGAAAAACTCATCACAACTTCACCGTGAATGTGTAAACTGCATTAAACTGAATCTGATACGCCACTGATACATACGGGCTCTTTAATCACCACTGCAGTTCGCTGCCACGGCAGCAGGGGGCGCATCTCTTCTCCTATTGGCGCGCTGTGTCTCGCGTCTCTGCGTCGCGTTCTCGAATGGCGTCCTTGACGACGGCGGGTTTTAGGTCCATCACGGAAGACGGTTACTGACCGTTACTGACCGTTAGCCCGTTTAATGCGGGACTGAGAGGCGGGTGCTGTGTGTGCGGGCGGACAGAGCAACAGGTAACGGCCGTCCGTTAGTTTTCTGAACTTTAAGCCGGTAGAAAGCGGATAAACGGTGTGTGGTCATTTACTGCGCTCCTCTGGCAGCCTAACAACAACTTACACAGCAATTTACCGTTTAATCCACACGTGTAAATATACGTTTCCTTTCAAAGCTGTTGAAACTTCGCGCCGAAGAACCCTTTACCTACAGCAGCACCGCAGTAATACTACAGCATTCCTATAAGAAGCTCATAGTTAAAGGAGAGGTCCACCGAATTTAAAAGAAATTCTCCGTAATTAAACGGTTGAGATGTAACCAACGTCATTCAGAGTGGTTTGGTGTGAAATAGTTCTAGTCGGAATTGTTCACAGTGGTGGAGATAGCAAGACGTCTAAAGCGTTTAACGCCTCTACAAGCTCCCTCACATAAAGCTATTACATGAAATGGTTGTGAATACACTGCCCGGTGTCTGAGACATTGTTTTATGGTAGTTTTGTGATAAAGTGTTGGCTTAAATGTATTTTCATTCATCTATTTTAATCCATTCATGGCGGAGGGGTACATGCAGGGCATTGTGAGGCAAAATAGTCCCCAAAGAAAAGCTCAGAAAGCACGTGTAGGTTCACTGGTGGGCTTGAACAACAAATAAAATGCCTACAGTTGTGTTGCAGACATGTGTCCCCTGGTTCCAATCACCACGACTGTAAAGGAATTTGGGCCTGTATGTTTCTCTACCACATCAAAACACTGAAAAATATGAAGGAGTAAATTCTTCAGAAATTTTGAAAACTTGGTGGACTTCCACTTTCATTTAGACGTTTACTACAGTGTGCTACAGGAATTTATACAGGGCTCCTGTGAAGATCATATAGTGAAATCAGACAGTTACTGTAAAGCTGTATTTGAGTCTAGATAATAGTGTAACCCATTTTAGTTCTACTGTTCTTAGTTGGTTCTTTAACCCCTCAAGGACACATTTGTGGTTCTGCACTTCAATTCCTCACTCGCATAACTACATACCTTTCAAAGTAGCCCCCTAGTAGTTTACAGTTATGGGATAGTGATTAAATGATTATGTTATGGCCTTATGATTAAAGGGGAAATTCCACCGAGTTTTCAAAATTTCTGGATAATTCAACAGTTGAGATATAAACAGAGTCATTGATAGTGTTTAGATGTGAAATGGTTCACCGCAGAGAAACTTGCCAACTCAGATTTCTTTACAGTGATGGTGATAAGAACCAGAGGTTGTGATATTTTCAGTGGAAATATAGCCATTTTATTCACTATCCAAAACTACCAGTGAGCTTTTATGTAAAGTAAAACATATATATGATGATAATATATGGTGATAATGGTGAATTAGTGGTAAATCCAAATTAATACTTTTTTCTTTAAGGGCTATTTTGCCTTACAAGGCACTGCACATACCTCTCCACCATGACTTAGGCATTTCACAGCAGTCAGATTACATTTCATGTAATAACTTACTGGGAGGGAGCTTTGAGAGGAATTCAACCTTTCCTATCACCACCACTGTGAACAATTCTGGCTCTGTAAGTTTCTATTAAACAGAGCCTTTTGCATTAAACCACTCTGAATGAAGCTGTTTTTTCATTATGCAGAAATGTTTCCCTTCAATAACTGAATAATAGTCTGAGAATTTAAGGGATTGAACTATGTACAGTAGGTTCTCCATCAGAGAGAAAAAAAACATTTAACCAGAAAAAGAAGCATTCAAACTGTTAGTTCATTTGCCATGTAATATATAAGCATTGGCCTCACTAAAGAACCTGTGAAGAACCTCTTTTTTGAAAAGTGTGCTGTACAACGTCAAAATATTATAATTATTATAGAAATATTGTACAGTACTATGGATTTTTTTTATACTATCACTATAGATCTCGTTTGTAAAACAAAACACCCAGAATACCATTAGAAAATGGTTCTTTAAGGTGATGATTATACACTCTTTAAGATAAAGGTGCCTGAAAGGTTCATGGCACAATGCCACAAGAGCCACTTGGCACAATGCCACAAGAGCCACTTTTGGTTCCCTAAAATAGTGGTTCTCAAACCAGTGCTCATGGACTCCCAAGATGGTCCTATATTGCACCAAAAATGGTTCTCTTACAAGTTATAGAACCTATTTAGTTCTCTTAAGAGTTATATAACAGCATACGACTTCAGGATGACCTAATTTAAGAATAAGATTCTTATTACATTTTCAGTGCTAGCAATAATTGTTTAGCTGTGTCCTTCATCTATAGTCATATGCAAAAGTTGGTGGTCAAAATTACATGTTTTGTTGATTTTCTAAGTGAATATAACTCGGAAGAAAACCTCGTATCTCCAAAATCGTAACTTTACAGGAGAAGGAAAAAACCTACTTTACTTTTAATGTAAGTCAGTGGAACCAGACTTTTTTCCGTGTTGTTTTGGGCCTTTTCTGTTGGTCAATTCATCATGAAATTTACTAACAAGAAAAAAAGCCAACAAAATGGTGAGAAAAATGGAGAAAGGTTTTCTTCTGACAGCAGCAATACGTAACACATCCTCTACAGAGAACACACTTCTGTACATTTTAATGCACAGTTATTGTTTATTTGCTGGATTTAACATATTGGAAAACAAATGAAACATAAAATGTGTCCTGTGCAAAAGTGGTGGCATATTTTCTGTTTTATTTTTTTAAATATATTAAACAAGTTGTGCACTAAAGTTTGCAGATAAAAATGTCATATTTAAGTGTGTTCTCTGTAGAGGATGTGTTCACTTATTTTCACTTAGAAAATCAATCAATAAACAAAATCAATAAAACATGTCATTTCATCAGGGGCGCCCAAGCCTTTGCACACAGCTGTGTATGTTCGTATTTTATGTGTCAGTCTGCCTTAATATTTATGAGCAGGCTGCAAACTCTTAACTTTTTTTGTTCAGTAGTGAATAAGCACTATACAAAAGTCATATACGAAAGTTTGAGCCCCCTGGTCAAATGACATGTTTTACAAAATCAACAAAAAATGTCTTTCGTACTTTTGCATATGACTGTAAGTGCATATGACCTTTTTGACCTTTTCTTAAAGAATCATGGAGGTTTTGCATGATTGCAGGATTGTTATTAATTTGAGGTTTGTTTAAATCCATCATCACCTTCTAACTACTGAGATACCAAGACATTGAAGCACAATACTTTATTCTTCATCTCAGCTTAATTACAGACAAGACAGCCCACAGCCTGTTAATTAGATCCTATCAATATGTCAGTTAGACCTTAGATCCACCACCGTTCATGTGGTTCAGTAAACCATTCATCACTTAATGTTGTGCTATGACATTTTAAATAACCTGCCTTTTGATTTTTGAAGCCCATTTTATGAACATTAGGAGCATTTCATATAACTCAGCCCTTGGGGGGAGTAATAACCTTGCTGTGTCTCAGATTATAGATAAGATGGATAAGGGTTAATGCTGCAGCTCAGGTACTTCCTGCCCCCATCTATGGATCACATACATTTCAAGGGTGAAGGTGGGGTTGTGGCATATGGGGTTGGGGGATGGGGGTGTGAGTTGTTGGCCATATTGTGCTTTGATTGTAGTTTAAGCCTAAAGAGAAAACACCTGATGAATACAAAGTTATGAAGAACATTGACATTGACGGTGTTCAAGAATATTCTTGCTGCTGTAACAGCCAATAGAAATACAATATCTATTAATGGCTGATATGGCAAAAAAATACATCACAGTATTTTCATGACACAGGCTCTTGGTCAGCTTGTGGGCTAGCTGATTAGTTTAGCTGTCGAAGTGAAGCCCTCAGGTCTGATGAATATATAACCTTATTCACTGTTTGTAACCACTGCATGTGTGCCTCGGTAGACCACTCTGCTGGGACACCTGCATGTTTAAGGTATATGCTGAAATTATCATTCTTGAAGTGAACACGTTCATTTTTGATTTGCAAAATAATTTGTAGGCGTGTTTATTGTTTCTACCATGGATATTGATTTGTCCAGTGGGACCAGTAAATTCATCATCCAGGTTCACTTGTCCTGGACAAGCATTAAAGGGGAACTCCACAGATTTCCACCTAATTCAATCACTGAGATCTAAACAAAGTTGTTCAGAGTGTTTGATGTGAAATGCTGCAATGTAAAGAAACTTACCAACTCAGATGTTTTTACAGTGGTGGTGATAGGAACTAGGGGTCATGATGTCTACAAAGCAAACAAGTATTTCCAAAACAGTAACTTTACAGGAGAGGGCAAAAACGTTCTTTACTTTCAATGTAATTTAATATAAAGAGATTTTATTTGAAGAAATTTCTGTTGGTCAGATCATCATGCGGTTGTCACACAGTGACATCACTAACAATCATAGTGGAATAGACACATCAGTTTCTTTGTCCTGTGGAATTTTAATTTGACAGAGTGATTTTAACAGTTATTGCTAACGAACGTTCTGTAAGTGGCAAAAATCATTTTTTTTAATCCACTGATCAGTTATCAGTGTTCTAGAAGTACTGACGACACCTACAATAAGCATTTCTTGGCATTATATCTCATTCACATGATCATAATGTGATAATATGGTAATGATAATATTGTATATCCCCAACTTTGGTTGGAGTTGGAGATGGAAATAAACATGCTGAACTGTCATTCTTCTTGTCACTAGAAATAATTACAGTATAATGCAGCATCATAAAGGTGTTGTAACTGGCTTCTTTATTAACTTCATTAACACTAGTTTTATATAAAATGATATAATAGTTTTGAGATTGTAGCATTCGGACTTAAATATATTTATGTTGGAGAGGTAGGGCAAAATAATCCCCAAAGAAAACTTGGATTTACCACTATTTTACCATTATCAACATTATATATACAAAGACACCTGATACATCAGACACCTGCACATTCACTAGTGGGTTTGGATTGTAAATAAAGTGGCTGTGTTTGCATTGTTGACACTGTAACTCCAGGTTCATATCACCATTTAAAGAAATCTGAGTTGGTAAGTCTCTGAATCATTTCACATCAAACCACTCTGAGTGACTTCATTAAATCTAAACAATTGCATTAAGCAGATATTTAAAAAAAATGGTGGAATTCCCATGTAAGACCCCATCACCTTGTCTACAAACAAACAATAAGTGTATACTAATGTCATTTCTCATGATACTGACAGCATATCGTAAAATCGCTAAATCTTAACACTAACTAGAACCTAGAACAAGGGATGTTAGGCGATAGTGTATCATATTGGTTTCATGTTAGTGGTGTGTAGCTCAAGATTTCCTTATCTGCACACATAAAAATGATGATTCTTCAAGCGTTCCTTAGTAAAGAAAATGGTTCTATATAGAACCATGAACTCTCAAAGAGCCCTTTGCGTGATCAAAGGGTTCTTTGCATTGTGAAAGTGTTCTTCAGATTGATGGAGACTGTGCTGTAATTCCCTTTTTGAAAAACATCAAACAGGATTCTTCTACTGTGCCAAGCTTGACATCGTAACAAGTGTTCATTTTTTCTTGAAGAACCCTTGAAGAACCATCCTTTTTTAGGAGAGTAGAAACACCTATTCCTTTGAACTCAACTAACCAGTTCAACTTCTATACATAATAAGATTCCCTTCAGAATCCCTCCACCCTCCTCCTCTCGCTCATGAAGATGGTGTGATCATAAGCTGCTGGACACAGCGTTACGCACCAGCTTCCTCCTCTGACCTGTGAGGCCATTGGGCCTTTGACTGAATGGCTCCATCTTGTTTGGAGCTGGGCCAGTGTGCACAGGGAGTACTGAGACGCTAATCTCTTAAGAGGCTCAAGCTAGCTTGTGAACTCGGGGAGGGCACAGAGAAGTGAGTGAGGAAAATGCATTGTGGTTTGGAGCTGTCATGGAAAATATGAAGATATGCTCTTGTCCGATATGGCAGGGCACCTGCGGAGAGCCAACGAAGGCCACTGGGAGCAGGAAGAGTCCAGTTATAGGAGACTGCTGAGCGATGCTAAGATATCTGCTGCAGCAGGAAGTGGGAGCCTAGCACTGCTATGAGTGAGAGTTAAGGTAAAACCTGTGGCTATTTCTATAGCTTATTAGCTCTGAGGAGATATTTTTGGAACTTAGTGTAGTATTTAACTGGAAAGAATAGATTTCTGTGGTAAAATAATGTTTACCACACTAGCTAGTGCAATGTTTGGTTCTGAAGGGAATGCTAATCAACCAAACTCAGTGCTAATCAAAGAGATTCATACAGTTGAACCCTATTTCATATTTTTGTACATAAAAAACTAACACTGAATTTAATAAAGTTGACAATGAGTGTAGAAGCTCATAAAATAAAATAGCAAGTGACTGTGTAAGTTCAGTTCATGGACAGTTACTAGTTAAAAAAAGGTAATAGCATAATGGGCTAACATTCAGTCACCTACTTATTACTATGCAATTTTAATCTGTAATTCCTATAACTGGCCTTTTTTGAACCATTGATCAGTGGTCACTGTCTAAAAGTACTGAGTATACCCATGATAAGCAATTCCTGATGTAATTTCTAGGATATAGAATAGGATATAACCTATTTTATAGCTAGAAATAGCTAGAATGTAGATTCTAGACTTCAAATGTGTTTTTCCACTGATGTTTTGTGTATATTCGGCCTCCTAGCACAGCCATGACGCTATTCCTGGTGGAGACAAGTTGCAGCCTGATTGGCTGGCTCTCTCTCTACATACTACTGTGTTACGTGAACGGGAAGCAAGGCTGCGAGTGGAACTGCAGACTGGTCACTCTGCTCCACGGTGTCCTCATCGTCTGTGTGACCGCTTACATCGGCTTCGTTGATGGGCCATGGCCATTTACACACCCTGGTGAGCTTTCACAGTAAAAAAAAATTAACTGAACTAGAAAAAAACAGAAAGAATAAGTCAACTGAAATCCTCTTATTTACTCAGCTTTGCTTCTTTCGCCCAAATCTGCATGGTAGTAAGGTTTAGGAGTTTAAACTCCCAGCTTTGTAGGTTTTATGAAATCCCAGCCTTGATGCCTGTTTCTCTTAGCCTGCCCCCCATCCTGTGCTTATTCATTTATGATTTTATATATTACAGTCATACAAGAATCCAGGACTGTTTTCTTCTGTAAAGTCTTACAGAATATTTTTCTAATTGCATCAAAATAGTATGTAGTAGTGACTGCTACTACTGTTTTAGCTGTGCAACAAACATTTGTATGTGGCTAATGTAGCTAAAATGTAATGGAAGCTTGAACACTACCAATTAGCATCATCCATTTATAAATTATAGCACCAATTGTTGTTAAATAATCTCAAATAGACTTGCTTATATGGCTTTTGGTACTGTATGATATACACTTGTCTGCAAAAATTAATAAAAGTACATTGCATACCTAAAAACTGTAGTAGTGGGCAGCCATGCAAAGCATGTTCCCCTTTTTTATAGGCAACAATATGTCCATACAATGTCAGAAACCACATCAGCAAGTCAGTTGGAGATTAACAATTCAACATAATTTAAGTCAATTGTGTGATCATTTAGGAATGCACTAGAGCAGTGGTCAGGAAACGTCTTCAGGCTGCCTTTCTCTTTCCTTTTGTCTTCAGGGACCGAAAACACCCCTCTTCAGATGTTAGCCTTGCTGCTCAGCTTGGGCTACTTCCTCTTCGACATGGCCTGGTGTGTGTACTTCCGCACAGAAGGTTCGGTCATGCTGGCCCACCACACCCTAAGCATCCTGGGCATCGTATCTGCGCTGGGCATCGGTGAGTCGGGCATCGAAGTGTGTGCTGTACTGTTCGGCAGCGAGATCACCAACCCCCTCCTTCAGGCCCGCTGGTTCCTCAAGCAGATGGGCCGCTACAACAGTGTGACCGGAGACGCTGTCGATCTCCTCTTCATCACCCTCTTTGCTTTTGTGCGCATGGGCATCGGCAGCCGCATGCTGTACTGCGAGCTGGTCTCCCCCAAGCCCAAAATGGTGATGAAGTGGGGCGGCGTGGCCATTTATGGCCTCTCTTGTGTCTTTATGGTGGATATTGCACGCTTCGCTTGTCGAAAGACTCGGGCCAAGTACAAGCGGTGGCAAGAGCAGCAGAAGCTTGATAGCGCTAACGGATATACTGGAAAGTAGTGAACTAAAGGAGGTGGACTGGAGGGAACTTTTTAACATTTTGTTTACTTAATGACTTGAAATGGCAACTTGAAATATGAAATGAAAGCTCTCATAGGTATCCTTAAAGGAGAATTTGGGTAATCATAACTCTAAATTGTGGTTAAGATGATGGGTCGTGAAAACATAATGATAAGTACCAAAAGCAGACATTTTTTGATCTAACTTTTAGATATTTTTGACAAAATGATTATACCTTTCATTTCCTCAATCCGGTATTGGTAGCAACTTTAAACAACTGCAACCTCAGAACAATAGGTGGCAATATGTACCTCTTACTCACTAGGCGGAAAGTCTAGCCGTTCACTCATAACAGCACAAGCCAGCAGGACAAGTAGCAGAGTTGGCTTGCTAGCTATTTTAAGTGTTGGAATTATGGGTAGTAAAAAAGACAGTGAGGATGAGGAAAATGTCTCTGAACAAGAGCAGTAAAGACCACATGTGGCCTGTGGAATTGGTTCGATTTACATGAAATGTAATGTGGAGTTGTTTGCAAAATTTGCTGATGATGTCTGGCTTCCAAAACAGGCACAACAGCAACACATTCCACGGTCTTAAAACATGCAGTCATTACTGATTAATAATGTGGAAAATATATCATGATAAGGTTTTTGGCTATATAGCCTGGCCTGACTAGAGGTGATCATTTTCGCATTTTGTTAATTGGCTCCTTCTAGGTTGTGTTCATTCTAACCATGTTAACATTTTTGAGTGATCCTTAAACATACAGGTTAGCGTAAAGCCATAGACGTTAGTGTGCAGGGCTGCTCTGGGTAAATGCTTCAGAATGAATTGCACATATACCTAAACATTTACAAACTGCCACGTTAATACAGTTCAGCTCTATTGACTTTTTAAACAGCTGAATAATCTTCTTTGCTAAAATCTGATATTTATAAGCCAAAGATATTTGACATCTATGTCCTGATACCTGTGATCCAGGCTAAGCTCTCTAAGACTGATAATGCCAGCTGTGTTAATTTGCTTAATGTTACTTTTTTCACACACTGTGTCATAAAGCCTGTTGTCAGCAGTAGCTGTAGAAGTTTGCAGCAGGTTAGTTTAGATGTATACATACGTTTGAAAAGAGCTTGAGGGCAACAGGTCTTCATTTGTAGAAGCCAGGAATTTGCCTGCGAACCCTTACCAAAGTACTTTTGCATTTTTTAAGAAATAGTGATTTAGAGTGGACAGTGCTACAGTGCATTAAGTTATATTTTTTGACTGCTACTTAGATGCTTTATGAAAGTTTTTGTATAAGATGCTTTTGGCAAAGCCATGTAAATGCTGCCACAATCAATAGTATTTCTAATTGTGACTTATACTCAGTGGCCACATTATTGGAAACACCTGCCTTGTAGCTCCACCTTTCTGGTGTACAGTTATAGACTGTAACTCATCTGTAACTCATGTGCTAGCCATCTTCTAGCCCTTCATCACTGGTCACTTTCCGACCCCAGAACCGCTCTTGGCTGGTTATTTTTAGGTGGCGGACCACCCTTAATTTTCAGTGAAAAAAACCCATCATGTTTCTAACCACTTCCATATCAGTGTCAATGCAGTGTTGCCACCTAAATAAGATCTGGTCTGCAACCATCCCGTGGTCAGAAACTGACCAATAATAAATGGAGTAGAGGGTATTTTACAAATTGTGAGGCCATTTATAGACGGTGTAAGCCATTGCTAAGGGCCCCGCAAGCCACCTGGGACCCCCAGTCCACCAGGGGAACCCTGAGTATGTATTTTTCAATGGTTATCTAATATTATTTGTCAAAAAGTCCAGAGACTTTCTTACATCATTTCTTTGTCAAAATCACATATGTTTTATTGTTCTAACCTTGCAAACAAAAGAATATGACTGTGGTGAGTGAGGTGTGCTCCCTACACGTTAGGCTTCAGTCTGTTATTATACACCTATATAGTGGACCTTAAGGGAGGTGGAGCTCATGAAGTGGCCAGTGAGTGGACATACAGGGTGTTTGTGGACAGTGAAACTGTCATTCTCTCTGGGAACCACCAGGTGGTAGGAATGTTCTCTGTATAAGTTTTCTTTAAAAACACTAATAAAATGCAGTACAAGTGCTTGTGCACGTAAACATGCTCTCTCTTTCTACACCTTGCAAGACTGTGTTTTTCATTGTCATGTCAGTATATCTAACGTTTGATTCTTGTCACTGGCTCAACTGACATAATGGAAGTAATTGGGGAAAAATACTATGCATTGGAACTGCTAGGCTACATGCTTAAAAAGGCTTCTTTAGTAAAAGCAATGGTTCTTTTTAGAACCATTCCATGCTTAAAAAGTTCTTTGCTTGTGAAATGGTTCTTCAGATTGATGCAGAATCTGTTGTATGTGGTTCTTCGTAGAACTTTTTTGAAACTGGTCCTAGGTAGCACCAAAAGTGTTGCAAGTGTTCTAGTGTTGCAAGCTTGACATCATAACAATAGCAGAACCCTTTTTGGTGCTATATAGAACCATTTTCAGAAAGGTTCTAGAACCATATTCAACACATTCTGCATCAATCTGAAGAACCAAGTATGTATCTCCAGTGCAGTTGAGCTTGTTTTCTTTAGTTACTTGAAAAAACTGCTGAGATTCTGGAAAGCAGTTAATATTATAGTATCCTATTAGGTGAAATAACCAGTTTCATCATATAAACTGTACATGTTAATCGCCCTTCATGGTGTTACTTTCCTACAGGTTTACATAACATTTGTAATGGAATTGTCACTGGTTTGCATTCACATTCATATAAAACGAATCACGATTTGGCACAGACTAGACCTGACCTCCTGAAAACGGTACGTTTGTAGTATTTAAAACAGGAGCTTTTGTAAATATGCAGTTCGTCTCGGTCCAGGCTCTGTTAGGCAGCTTTAGATATGAGTGAATGGTCAGTGCCCTCCGCAGCACATGGGCGGTGATATCGCCTACTGCGGAAGGATACCACAAGCCCCAAAAGGGAGTGAACTGCTTCCAGAGCGCAGGAATCTTGCCGAAAGTCAGGAATTATGTGGATTTTACAAAAATTCCTCGTCGCTTTTTATTCCACTCCAACCGAAATCTGACATTTCTGCCAGCGTACGCGGAGTCCGTGTCCTTCGCGACTCTGACCCGCTCCGGCTCGCGGCGAACGAATTTTTTGGCGAAAAGCGAAGAGGAAGGGGAGGAAAAAAAACTAGTGAATTTCGAAAAACATGGAGACAAGGAGGGGAAGGAGCTGACTAAATGACTAAAGAGCAAGTTTTACAGCTCGGGAGCGCCACAGGAAAAGAAAGAGGGAGTCGGCGTTTGTTCCGCGCGCGTTGGACGGCGTTTCGGCTTTTGAAAAATGTCGTTATTTTGCCGTTAGTTTGGTAACGAAGCCGTTCGGAGCAGAACTGCTGGATTTGGACGGTTCTGCGAGCTCGAGCTAGTTGACATCAAAGGGCTCTGAAGTTTTTCTTTCCTGCCGATTCCTTCTGCTGCGGGGAAAGAGTAGCTGCGGAATTTCGGAGTTTGGGAATTACAGAGCAGCGGTCGACTTGGTGAATGTTTTGAAGCAGCGACTGGCTTTGCAGTTTATACAAAGGAGAGTGACGAACTAGACACATTCTTTCTTCCTGAGGGGGGAAAAGTCCCATGCCGTTCAAGCGACCGAGCGAGAGGCCTGAACGGAGCGAGGGACGAAGAGGCTTTAACGCTTCGACTGGTCATTCAGGAGGTGGTGCGACAGATTTACACGTTTTCTTATTATTATAGCGACAGAAGAGGCGAACGTGTGGCTAATAGTGTAGGCGTAAGGGTTCAGTTTGGGAATGCCGTGAGGGGAATTACAGGGAAGGGAAGGCTATGAAGGAACCTTCAGGAGAATAGATAGATACAGCTTGGAGTTTCACTGTAGAGCCACACGAAAATAGATAGGCTGACTACCTCTAGTCTCTGTGGTATCGACAAAGGCTACGGTGGCTGGCCAGGAGTGAGGCAAAGCCTGTGGTGTAATGTGGTGGCATTCGCCTTGAGACCGAGAACTATGTGCTACATTTACTGCAAGCCTTTCACTTTAAGGCGTCTAACAGACATGAAGGTGTTTGTATGACTGGCTCGCTCTTCAGCCTGAATGCCTTCGCCTTTCCTCTCCACGCCTGTGGGAAAACTCTAATGACACAGACTACTAAAACGAAGACCAAGTGGAATTTTGCCTGAAATAAACTCATTTTCTCCATCCACGAGGCCACTTTTCCATACATTTCCTGACGCACTGGTTGGATTGTACTACCCACCCCGAACTTCATTGTTTGTGGACGGACGAGGGTGTTTTACCTCGGTAAAATGCTAGTTGGATAAGAGCTGAAGAAAACCAAGAAACAGAAGCCCAATGAGCGGCTCACAGTCCACGATAGCTGACAGGTAAGCGTCTCATATCACACACAGTGTAACGTTACTGCCTGTGCCTTTCATTTGCCTGTGTTTACATGTACATTCTTCATCACGACTCACATTTGACCTGACATCATCTCAGGAACGAGTGAGGAAGAGTTTGGCTCTGCCTGCATTAATGTTCACACGTCCTAATGTGTGTGTAGGGGTGGGGGGTGATGAACCTTCCATAACATCAAAACCACTCATTGTCCATTTTATCAGCTCCACTTACCATATAGGTTCGCTTTAGTAGTTCTACAAGTACAGGCTGTAGTCCATCTGTTGCTCTAGATACTTTGTTATACCCTTTTCACCCTGTTCTTCAAAGGTCAGGACCACCACAGAAAAGGTATTATCTGGTTATGTGTTGTGCTGGTGCAAGTGGATCAGACAGCAGTGCTGCTGGAGTTTTTAAACACTGTGTCCACTCACTGTCCACTCTATTAGACACTCCTACCTTGTCAGTCCACCTTGTAGATGTAAAGTCAGAGACGATAGCTCATCTGCTGCTGCACAGTTTGTGTCCCCTTATCCTTCATCAGTGGTCACAGGACGCTGCCCACAGGACACTCTTGGCTGGATATTTTTGGTTGGTGGACTATTCTCAGTCCAGCAGTGACACTGAGGTGTTTAAAAACTCCAGCAGCACTGCTGTCTGATCCACTCGTACCAGCGCAAACACTAACACACCACCACCATGTCAGTGTTACTGCAGTGCTGAGAATGATCCACCACCCAAATAGTACCTGCTCTGTGGTGATGCTGTGGGGGTCCTGACCATTGATGAGCAGGGTAAAAGGGGGCTAACAAAGTATGCAGAGAAACAAATGGGTTGCAGTCTGTACTTGTAGAACTGCAAAACAAGAGCGTGCACCTGTATGGTAAGTGAGGCTGATAAAATGGACAGTGAGTGTAGATACAAGGAGGTGGTCATAATGTTATGACTGATCTGTGTGTGTAATGATGACATTTCTGTATAGTTCTGTGATTCATTGGTTGAGATGTCAACAAAGTCGAGTGTTTTGATGTAAAAGTCCTGTGAGTTTTTATATGTAGTGCTGATAATGGTACATCTGAAAAAAAAAAAAAGTTTATTTTGCCCTACAACGCCCTTCGTGTATCTCTCTGCCAGGAAAGGATTAAAAAAATACTTTATTTCAAAACCTTAACTCAGAGCTAACTTCAAACTTTAAACAATATGTCAGGCATCAGGCAGTGAATTCTTAACCCTTTAGTGTAATAGTCTTTCTGTGAATTCGCTTTTTTAGAGGCATTAAACATTGCAGATGTCCGGTTCCTATCACCACTTCTGCAAACTGTTCTGACTCAATAAGTTCTCTAGAATGGAACACTTCATATTAACCCACTGTGAATGATGTTGTTTACTTGTTAACGGTTTAATTGTACATACATGTCGAAAAATAGATGGAATTCCTCTTCACGAGTCATGGACTTAGGATGCTAAATCAGTGCTCTCTCTCTTCTTAAATGATTTCTTTGGTGTTTGTCTTGCACAGCAGGCCTGTCTCCATCTCAGAACTCATGGAAGGTGACCGAAAGGGTCTGAACACAGTGTCATGTAAGGATGAAATATCGTCTTGCATAAGGCTCCTCAAAGACTGCAGCCACTCAAACCCGTGAGGGACGTGTGCTTTAAATGAGCATGTAGAGTGCGAGGTGTACCCGATGTGTGATTATTCCACTGTCACAGAGTCACGTCTGATGGAGGGTGTGTGTAACAGCTGAGCCGTTCCCCCGGAGCCTTACTGCTTTTGAATGAGTCACCTGTCGAGATGGATTAGCGAAGGAGGTGAACAGGTGTTGCAGAGTGTTTTTAGTGAACCAAATTCTGGGTTTGTTGCGTGATGAGCCACAATTACATGTCCCTTAGGCTGGTAATGAAGATTTCTTTACTGGTTAGACAAGGTTTGTAGCAGTTTGACATGCTTTGCGGTTTTGTTTGAACTGGGAGGTTCTGTTTTGTAGAATGATTCGATGATACATTGATGCCTCGATTCGGTAAATTTTTCGATACAGCCAAATTAAGTAGTGACTGAATATGCCTTGCGTTAATTTAAAGTTTCCTTTTGCAAGTTTTTAGAGCATTCGACATTGTAGAATTACAGTATTCAAAGGAAAAACTGTGTTCCCAACCTAATGCTGTAGGCCTAAGTTAACATGCTAATCACAACAAAATGATTTGTATGATAAGCTACGATATAGTATGATATGTTGTTACATCCCTACAGTTTTCACTGATAGGTTCAATTCACTGATTATTCAATGAACAACTAATGAAACCATTATTCCTTCTGTCGTTTGTCTTACATTGCAGGTTTTACAGCGCCACTATCATTTGTTGCCTGGCAGCGAGTCTCAATTCGGTCACTATGCGCTATATTCTTACACTGTGTACTATAAACTTCTCTAAATAGAATGGGTTTTCGTTGGGTAGCAGTTTGATTGGAGGTACAGGGCTGTCTGTGTGAGCAGTTTCCTGGGCCCATTTCATGGAAAACCAATTTTTTAAAATAACCGTTCAATGTAGTATGTAAACACCTGTTAAAGTTTCTTGATGTACCGTTTGCTCGCTAGTCCATATAATCTATGTTTGTGGAAAAAAGCTGTAAAAAGTCACTTTTTGGAAATTTTTTTTGTATTTGTGACTTGGGAGAAACTAACACAGTAACACACATCTGACGTTTGTCTTACAGCTGTATAGCTCTGCCTGTTTATGCTGAAGTTATAAGGAGTGTTTCAGCCTGGACTGCTGTTTGCATGAAGCACAACACAGAGCAGCCAGTCAGAACAGAGGTTATTTACATATATCAGCCTTAAATGAACAGCAACACAGCCTGTTTAATCCTAAAGGAGAAAGAGAGGTTGTGAAATGATCATGTAGAAATGAATTGTGTATGTTTGTGGTACATAAGCCACACAAATGTTGTAAGTGGACTTCACAGGAAAAATACAATACATAAAACGTAGGCGTTGGTGACAACACCTTAGAGTCATATCACCCCTACACTTTGTGCTGTGTATTCTCATCTGTGGGAGTGGCCCTTGTTTTATGTTCAGAATGTGTTCAACAACTTATCGACTTTGGCAAAGAATAATTGCAGCTCGTAAGCAAATCAGATCCACTAAGGCCAAAACGAAGCATAATAACTTAGTTAAATCTCAGATTAATACGTAGAAGGATCTACTGAGTTGTATATAGGGTTTTACGTGCCCTAATACAGCCGCTGTAGTTGGTGACATAGAATGAAAGCATGTTTTACACCATAATCAGGAAGTTGTGACTAACCTATGAATTCATCTCCTAATATAGTCATCACAAGCCAATGACAGACTCAACACACCTGTGGAAGTTACTCATTGTATGTGAAGGCGCAGCGTATTTAGATAGTCGCCGGATGACGTAATAATTGAATCACAGTTCGGACACGGCTTATCCATTCACATGGCTGTTTGCACTCCACAGCATGTGATATGAAATCTGCAGGCTGATGTGATCAGTGTGCTGCTCCACTAACCTCTCTGTGTTTGCAGCTGTTCCCTGGAGTACTGCTGGACATGCATGAGTCAGGTATTTTCATCCAGCATTTAGGTTCTGTGCTTGTAGCTTGCTGCACGCACACACAGTCACACTCAAAAGAACAAAACACAGAGGGATGCTGGGTAAGCCAAGCAGTGTCATCTTATCTTTTTTTTGACTGACATAATCTCCTGTGCAGATAACAGAGTTGCACATAAACGTGTGCGGGTATGTTTGTGCCAAGAGCTGCACTGTGTTCTCTGTCCTTCTCCAGCAACCTTTTTACCACTTATCAGTAATAACGCTGCCAAGGTGTCTGCTGCTTTTGACTGTCCCCCCATCTCATCATTGTATGTCAGTTTGACCCCAGGGTCTGACATACAGCCATTCATGCTTGTGTAAGTTAGTGGCACTTGTGTTTGTGCACACTTGCATTTTCTTGTGCACTATAGGGGTTTGTGCATGCTGGTGTCACATGATGTATTGAAAATGTAATGCTTTTTCAATACTAAAGTATGTCTTTTAAGTTGGCTAAGACTTTGGCAATGTTGTATTTTGCCTGTAGATGAATCATATTGCACATGCTACTTTGGTTCGAATGTGCAAAAACACATAGGTGAAGATTTTTATAGTGATGTGACTTTATGGTCCCAAAAACAATCAACATATATGACAACCCATTTTCTAGTTGAGTTATTTTAATGTTAGGAGTGTTATAAAGGCTATATTGTGTTTTCTTGTCTTACTGGACATGCTGAATGAAACTGTATTTAAATTTTATAGTTATTTGAGTTATGTAAGTTTTGCTGAGAGATTAATATTAATTGATGCTGAGATGTTAAGCTTTTAACAATTTGATTTTTTTTTTGTATTTTTCACTGCTCATTCCAATGGAAATTAAAGGATCAGACTTCTTTTGTGTTAGTATTGGTTTGGTATTGAGCCTTATGATACTACACTTTGTAATGGTCTATAACATGACGACTCTAGTGCGTGCTTTTATATAGATGCGGTGCCTCAGGGTGCACGTTAAAATGTCCCTCCTCTGCTCTCTGTTCTTTCTTAATGCCACCTGCAGCAGTGCATATCTCGCTACCAGCAGGGCTAAAAGCAGTCTATCAGTTAATGCTTCTGGAAGCGCCTCCTCCTCCTCCTAGCCAGAGCCTCTGAGTGCCTGAAACTCAGCTGCACTTGTTCTTGTGAGGTGATCCTCCCTGACAGCTAGCCTGAGAGGAAAGTCTCCTTCTCTTGCTGTACGCAGAGGCCACCTCTTTGTCAGGAAAATCTGTGCTTAGTATCAGACACTGGCCAAGTAGGCCGTACTTGTATGTCTTTCCCCCTTTTGGAAGATGGGGCTTGCACGAGTAGTGAATTTAACCTCTTATTGAATGTATTTGTAAACCAGGCAGGCTTTAAATGAAGCATTTATCAGTTCTAAAGATGTACCACT